TCTGTGAAACTTTTATTTCACTTAATGTGTGTGCGTGTGTGTGTGTGTGTGTGTGTTCTAAGTTGAAAACTAGAAAGTATTTCTTACCATCAGTGATAGTCAAAAAAAGTTTGAAAACCTCAATAGCGTCATCTATGAAACAATCACTTAGGAAAAATCAACTTTCATATTATTTTACGGTCATCACTTAGAAATGCTCTGAAATTTTACTCTCCCACAACTGGTTATAGACCAGAATCCCACACAAAGTAGATCTCCACTGGAAACAAGTCAAGGAAAGCCAATTACAGCTAATGAAACAGGAGGAGTTCATTATGAGACCCTGCAACTTTGACCCAAAGTAGAATATGATAATGAGGCTATGATGTGAACATTACAAATGAAAATCACTAATCTGCACAATTTGAGTTTTGCTCAGCATCAGCATATTTTATGTTTTTAAAGTTTTAATTGGATGTCAAACAAGAAAACAAAATTTGAGAGGAAGAAATTGAAGCCAATTTAGTTATTAAATGACATCAAGTAATCTTCATTATTGAAGAAAATGCTCTCAGAATTTTTGCTTAAATCTTGAAATGATTACTTTACTGTTCAGCTTGTGTTAAGATCAATCTAATCAACAAATGTTTTTTGACTATCTGCTAAAATATATCTGGCAAAGAAACTAAAATAAAAGAAATAGACCTTGTTCTTGCATACAAGTACTCTGTAGAGAATAAATGGATTATGGCATATGATTCTTCCTCAGCAAGTACTTCATTTTAGAACACGGATATAATAAATAAAAATTATTTCAAGCCCCTTAATGTAATATTTTATCTCTTCAAATAACCTAAGTATATGCCTTAGCTGTGAAATTTAGTTTTTCCATTATGAGAAATGTATTTGGTGATCATTTCATAATATATACAAATATTGAATCATTATGTAACACCTGAAACTAATATAATGTTATATGTCAATGATATTTCAATTGAAAAAAAACAAGAGAACTGCTTCCATTTCTCCCTTCTCTAGTCCCGGCGACCACATATCACGTTTCAGAAGGCACAGCTACAAGATGGAAGAACGCAGCACAAGCTACGACAGGAGAAGAAATAAACCTTTGTTGCACACACAAAAAAAGTATGTATATTTTGGTTTTGTTTTTATTGTGCCTATGCACATGAGTGTGTGTGTACCAAATTTTGGTTAAATATCTTAGTTTCCTAGTATTTCCTGGAGACATAATTCAGGACACAATAAAAAGGAAACTAAGCGTTAGGCCTGTGGTCTGTTCAGTTTACTCTCCTAAAGAACGTAGCAAAAACCCCCTCCATAGACTTTCCAGTGACAAAGTGGGCAGAAAAAAATAAAGAAGAAATGGTTATTAAAACGAACCAAAACCCTTTAACTTTGTATTTGAGCAGCATGTAGATAATCACGGCCTAAGAAATTTTAAAGTCTCATACTTGGGAAAGGTGAAATGTGTCTCAAGGTCAAATCTTCTCACTAGAGCTATCTTCTATTTGTTAATGGGCTTTCTCAGATGTTAAGGTATGATAATAATGAAATTTGGAAATAATTTAACTTTTTAAAAATTATTATTATTATTTTTTTTGTGAGGAAGACCAGCCCTGAGCTAACATCTGCTGCCAATCCTCCTCTCTTTGCTGAGGAAGATTGGCCCTGGGTTAACATCTCTGCCCATCTTCCTCTACTTTATATGGGATGCCGCCACAGCACGGCCTGAGGAGTAGTGCGTGGGTCCACGCGTGGGATCCGAACCTGCAAACCCCAGGCTGCTGAAGCAGAGCATGCGAACTTAACCGCTATGCCACCGGGCCGTCCTGGGAAATAATTTAACTTTTAAAAACACAGTGATTGCTGAAGTTCACTTGCAATCAAACATCTGTCCACCACCTACAAGCTCCGTGGAGAATTTTGGCTGTTACAGCACTGTACCAGGTCAAAGATTCTTTTTTTTTTTTTTTTTTTTAAAGTTTTTTTTTTTTTTTTTTTTCCCCCCAAAGCCCCAGCAGATAGTTGTGTGTCATAGCTGCACATCCTTCTAGTTGCTGTATGTGGGACGCGGCCTCAGCATGGCCGGAGAAGCAGCGCGTCGGTGCGAGCCCGGGATCCGAACCCGGGTCGCCAGCAGTGGAGCGCGCTCACCCAACCACCAAGCCACGGGGCCGGCCCAAAGATTCTTAATCTCTCCATTCACTTGCCATTTGAGGTTTTTATACCTAAGCTCTAATTTATTTTAACTAGGCTTTTAGTTTAGTTTACGTTTTCATCATTTAAAGTTCCCACTACAAGACACAATCTTAAAGCAACACATATAGTATGACCCATAAAATTACTGAGATTGATTGTTACATAGGGCTTAGAAAAATATGTCCTGCTACTTTAGAATGTCTTCTTTCATAGTGCCAATTGTCTGGTCTGTCTAGAGCTGACACAAAGACTTCTTCAATCACTCTGGGTCCACCCAGTAAATAAAACTACAAACTCAGGCTGCGTAGGATCAATAAGGTCAACGTACTGGGTGTGCAGGTGTTTCCAGGGAAAGGAAGAATACAATTGCATTTGATTCCAGAGGGAGCTTCCCTGTGTTCCTTTCCTCTCTCTCTGCTCTGATCTGTAGTACACTGGGATTCAAAATTAGGGACAGATTGCCAAACACCATTCTTGATGCCAACTTGCCTACTTGATAAACTTGACTCCCGGCTTTTAGCCAGTAAATAAGTCAATCACTCTTATCCCAAATCCATCTTTATAAAGGTGTATTCTTTCTAGTTCAATCTTTGTACTGCACTCCTAAATTCACATTGGGGAGGCCTTGGAAAGCCCAAGGCTGATGTACAGATGGGCTGGTGCCCAAGGTAAATGAATGGTTACACACACTACACTCTGTTCCATGAGATTTTGGAGCCAGACCCTCCTCCCATGTGCACCTAGCTTGCAATGCTTCTGCTATGGCTTTGGGGGCCCAGGAAAACTCAGATGAACTCCGTGTGTGTGTGTGTGTGTGTGTGTGTGTGTGTGTGTGTGTATGAATACATGCATAAAAACGTATCTTTCCTGACCTATAACTCTGCAATGATTAGCACAAAAAGCTGACTTTTGAAAAAGAAGTATCTGATGTTCTTGCTTTTTGCCTGATTTTACTATGCTTTGGGGGACTCTTAGCACAGGACGTTCACAATCCTGCTTCAGAGGCTGTGTCAAAGCCAGATCAGCTCCACCATGAATGATCTCAATAATCACAATGTGATTTTCAAAGAAAGTCAGGCACACTATGATATAATAAACAAGCACTAGTCAGCTCCTTGAGGGCAGGGTCTTGCCTCTCTTGTTCACTGCTGATAAGAATAGGATCTAGCCCACTGAAGCATCAGCAAATAATCGAAGAAATGAATATGATTTATGGAAAGCCTACCATTTGTCAGTCACGCAGAAGGCACTTTGCATACCTTGTCTTTCTATTCCTCATAATGAACAACGCTGCATGATGGATGTTATAACAATTAGCTTATAAATAAGGAAACTGAGGTTTGAAGAATTTCACTGACTTGCCTATGTCACATAATTAGTAAACAGGAAGCAGGGATTCAAATCTAGATCTGCCGGCCCTTCTAGCCCATGTTCTGTCGACCACACCATGCCTTCACCCAACAGTACAAGAAAATTATATGACTTTTGGTATTTTGCTATAAGATACTAAGTCAGCATATTTGCATACTATCATAGGTTCAGAAACTCCTCTACACAACAAGGACTCTGTGAAAAGCTGGTGGAATAAGATAGGAATATAGAAGTCTCCAATCATATATATCTCCGTGTGCAGAAAGGCAACAGAGTTCTGGCTTTCTCACTTCGCTGCTATGCCACTATAAGTCTCACTAAGCCTAAATTTCATCATCTGAAAACTGCATAATATGAGTCCTATCTCATTAAATGCATATAAGCACAGCAAGGACTCAAAAAATGTAGATTATTACTAATCCAGAGTTATCCTCAAACTTACATAAATTGATTTGATTGCTTTTAGAAAAGGCAGAAATATTTTTAATGGGAAGACTATATAATTATTATCTATATGAACATATGCCTATTTTCCCCTTAAAGAATTTGTCCCTTTGTCCAGTAATTCTACTGATGAAATTTTAAGTGGAAACAGCTTTTTTTAAAAAAAAAGACTTGTAGGGGGAGAGGAATGAAAAGGTGCTATTTAAAGTCTGAACCTCACTCACGGTAGAGAAGGCACTCGAACATTATGGATTAATGCATAAATTAATATTCATCACCTGGTGAGTCCCACAGGTTTCTTTCCCTTGCTCTGTGTAAGGCTTTTCAGGAAATAAAAGTGCTTAAAAGAACATCCTCACTAAACGTGGGCTTGGGGGTTAGAAAAAACAAAGTTCTGTTTTGTTTCTCTGAACGAGGCTGGCAGTTTTAGAATTAATCAGCTAATGTTTTCTGGACATGATATTGAGAGTATCTCCCTCAAAACAGAATCAGCTTAGAAAAGTTTGCCACTGTGTGGTGAGCAAGCTCTGCCTTGTTCCAACTTCAAGACATTCTGAAATGGTCTGCAATGGCCTTTGCCATGCCGCCTGGAGATCTGCGTCACTCTGTTCATTTCACCTTGAGTCAAGGCTTTCCTAACAAACCAAGCTAGGCTGACTGGGCATTCGGTTCATGTGATTTCACTCTCTGAAGAATTCTTTCTATCCCTTCAATGAATCAGTTTAAACTTGCCAAAGTGCAAGTGACACCAGTCAGAGGTAGAAGTTTGGACTCAGCACTAACTCTCCACTACTAAAGACTTCTTGAAGTAAAACTCATAGAATAAAAGGCTTCAGATCTCTTTTCTGTATCTCTCCCAGAACATCAGGCCAAAAATGAGCATTTTGATCTCTCTCTTTCTCTCTCTCACACACACACACATAGCCAAAGCCGACTTGGTTTTGAAACTTCTCAAGTAGTAACGACATCAAGGAAATGGTGCCTACCTTTCTGAAACTTCAGTCCACAAAAGATGCCTCTTGCTTTTGAAGAGCAATCACAGCCAGATTTCCAGAGTTCCAGCCAGCTTCCTTCTCATCAGAGAGCAACACACCTCATCTCTGTGTAAGCTCTGAAATTCTTTCCGAGATCCACCCTCTAAAGTTGCAAGTCAAGATTTCTGACTGAGGGCAATCAGTGACGTGAGGCAAAGTTAATGGATAGCACCTTCCGGTTCTTCCTGATGGGATGTTGTTTCCTGTTTCACCACTTGGAGAAGAGAAAACTGGAATTCAGTCAGACAGAGAATTACAAATGCATTAATTGCCTCATTGTCGTTACATTTTGGTGTACACAGTCATTAGTCAACTACTGAACAGGATGGTCTGTTTGTATTAAAAGGAAGGGGTTTATGCAGAGGACAGAAACCTGAAACACTGTCGACAACACCGCACTATCATCCGAGCTATAGTACTCTCCAGAAGCCTGTGAATACTGGTGAGGCTTTTTGCTAACTAAATCACCACCACCGCCGCCACCACCACCACACCACGAAACTCCTCAACTAAGGAGCATTAGTCCACAGAAATGCGATTTCTCCACCTGCTTCCTAGCAATTGAAAAAAATCGCTTTTTTGAACTACAGAACAACCAAAAAATAAAATAATCTGGCCATCTTTTCTTTTTAGAATAGTCAGATGTAGTTCGCTTTGTCTTCATTTGTGTCAGTCTCAAAGAACAATCATTACAGACGAAAGACAAACCTATTAGTAGCAGGATATGCGCATTGTTTGTCTGTGTCTGCTTGAGGCACTTCAATTTCAAGCCCAAGTGTGCCTACATTTGACAGGTTTATTTGAGATCTTGGACCTTTGGGGGCCATTTTCACTTTCTCTTGCCTGAAGATGAAACAACTCCAGGTGTGGATTATTTAAAGGTGCTTTGACAAGTAAGACAGCTTCAACAAGTTGATTCATGTACCCCTCCAAAGCCAAATCGCGCCTCCCAGGAGGTCCAGGCGGCACCACCTGCTCTGAAAGACTGATTCACAGCTCTCTCATTGGCTGACTTCACCTGCTGAAAGACATCTTTCTTCTTTTGTCAGCTAACAGATGACAGCAACTTAAAAACTAACTAGAGGCACAGAAGGGGAAACACCAGTTTCAAATTTGAAACTCCACAGTTTCTCAAATTTTGCTAATTAATTTAGTTCAAAGGAAGAGGATTGGCAATGGCCCTTTCACTTGGCACTTGTTCACTCAATTCTCTTTAGTCAGTTTTTCTCTTGCAGACTTTTTATTTTTGGTGAGGAAGATTAGCCCTGAGCTAACATCTGCTGCCAATCCTCCTCTGCTTGCTGAGGAAGATTGGCCCTGGGCTAACATCTGTGTCCATCTTCCTCTACTTTACATGGGATGCCTGCCACAGCATGGCTTGATAAGTAGTGCGTAGGTCCGTGCCTGGGATCCGAACCTGCAAACCCCAGGCCGCCGAAGTGGAGCACGCAAATTTAACCACTATGCCACTGGGCCGGCCCCTCACAGACTTTGTTTTTCTTAATAAATTCATAAATTTTAGAGCTCATCTAGCAGGAGGGCTGAACCTCCAGCAGAGTGGTCACTAAATGTGGCAAGTTCAGACCCTCATCATATCCTGCCAGGAGACTACTGAAGAAGTTTTGCCTGGTCTTCCTGATCCCAGACTGTCCATTTCTAGTCCATCCTCCTCCAATTGCAATTTGACTTATCTTCCTAATTAAAAATTATTTTCTTTATCATGTCTCTCTCTCCTGCTGATAAAGCTCTACCAGCCACCTTTACCCTGTAGTACTCCTTAGCATGAGAGACAGCCTGGTTGCAACCTACTCCTCCAGAATCTCCTTTTGCCCCTTCCTGCCACTTTCCAGGCAAAACGAACAGGGAGCTCTGGTGCCCTTCCATGGGCTGCTCTCTGCATTCTCTGCCTGACAAAAGTCCGACTCCCCTGCCAAGTTCCTCAGCTCTCAGCCCTCCCTCTTCTGTGATTATACCTACATTATAACACTTACTCCATTACTATAACTTAACTGGTTTTGTATCTGCTTCCCCCTACACTGAGAATCCTTAAGGGACATACCTTACACATCTTTATATCCCTGGAGCTTAACATAGTGCCTAGCTGTTCAATACTTGTTAAACAATTAACACTCAAAATTGTGAGCATCCAACACTCATTTCTACTCCACGGATATCTGGGGAAGAGAATACTTCTGAACTCTATTCCAAATTCCCTTTCTCAAAATTAAGCCAAAAGAGTAATATAGAGTGATATTTTTTGTTTTAGTCACTTGTATAATTAAATACATGTCATCTACTGATGAGATGTAATGTTCAAATCAAATACGAAGTATTTATACATAGCTCAATACCTCCTCTATCATCAACACAATTCCATCACCATCTTTCAAGATGTAGTTCCTCCTTCGTCGAGACAGGTGTAAAAATTAACTTGTTGCACAACCTATGCAACAGAGGACAACAGCTAGAGGGATGGAAGTGAGGAATTCGAAGGTTTGCTAGTTGTGATTTGGGGGAGCTGTGTCTCTACATGTAAGCCTAGTCTGTCTGTGCATGACTCCTCTGAAGACGATAAATAAACACAAATATGGTTCTTCTGAGGACTCCTAAGGTAATGACTTTCTTTTTCTCTTTCTCAATTGTGCCTCAAGATAAATTTATCAGTTCATTGCTTAACAGAAAAGAGAGAACCCTGGGAAGCATGATATAGCAAGATGCATGTGTGGGTGTCATTTCTTCTATGTAATACTTAATGATTTCATTTTATGAGAAAACTTTATGAGTGAGTTAAGACATTAAATAAGTTTTATATTTTGAATCCTCATTAATAGATATTATCATTTATTATAATCTTAACAATCTGTTGCATTTTAAAAAGTGAACATCACACCTCTGACAACTGAATGTAGGCAATTAAGCCTGATACTAATGGACAGGTTTCCTGGGGAGCTGTAGGGGGTGCATTACAAAACTGATGAGTTTTTACACACAGAGCAAGCTTGTGACTAAATGCTACTAAGTGAGTAAGTGTGGAAAACACCTACTGAGTATATTTCACAGAGTAAAGTAGGGGAGGGAGATAAGAGCAGTGTGGACCTGAGTGAGGCAAACCCCATCAAGATTCTGGAGAGCCACCTAGAACTCACAAGAGGAAAACAGAGTAAGCAGGACACAAGAAAACAGACTCTGGGCCCCAGCAGGAACCACAGAACCAGCTATTGGGCCCAAAGCTCTGCTCACCAGGAGCAAAGGGTGCGCAGCTGTGCAGAGCGTAGACATGGAAGAAAGGGAGGCAGGGCGACTTTCGATACTCCAGGTTGCATGTTATCTTCCGAACCAATCCTTAACCTAATGTTCTAGAGAAGAACTCTTCCCTCAAAGGAGAGAATCTCTTCCAAGAAACATAATGAATACAGTTTGGGCCATATTGATCTTAACATAACCAGTCCAATTTTCTGAGCTCTTACTATCAACAAACTGTTTTCTTGTAATTTTTCATCTTATCATTTTTAAAAACTTTTTGAATGCAAAGGTTTGCTCACAGACAGATATGCTAAGTCAAAATGCCACCAAACTGTGTATTCTTTAAATAGGTATGTGGAAAAGCTCCCATGGGATATAATGAAACAAGCAAATGTCTTCACAAATGCCTAGACCTAAACTGATGGAATTTGAAGACTACATCTTATTGACATAAAACAGTTCCCCCAATCATTTGCCTGAATCTCCACCATGGATTATAGATTATGGGACCTGAATTGCGTCTCCCTTACTCGCAACCCCAGGTTCCACACTTCCTCTGGCCCAGAGTTGCAAGGTTCCCTGGTAGATCACTTGAGAGGCTATCTTGGGAGAAAAAGAAAATTGAAGAGAAGATCATCAGAACTAATGGTTCTCATACACTCATACCTGAGTGCCCTCTCTCCCCCAAAGCTCCATCCCCTCTCCTGCTTTATGTTTCCCTGTGTGTCGTGTCACTTGAGCTCTTATTTACCTGTTTATTGTCTGTCTCTCCCATTAAAATGTCAGCTCCAGGAGGGCTGGGATTTTTGTCTGCCTTGTTCACTGCTGATTCCTCAGGAGTCAGAACAGTTCTTGGCACAGAGTCCACACTCAGAACTGAGAGTACATTTAGTTATTTAGTTAGTTACAATTGTGTCTTCCTTTCTACCACAACAGGTAGTCACTTTTTAAAAAGTAATTCACTGGCCTTTTTCAAAACTTAAGGTGGTATTGCATGTCATGAAGATAGCCAGTTTTACTTGGAGTTTGTTGGGAGGAGGGGAGGTTTTTCGCTTGAAGACTTAAGTCTGTCACATACCGAGTACTTGAAGCAAAGGATTTTTAGAACCCATTTGGCACGTGGTCTGGGAAGGCCGTGGAGCTATATAACAGCCAGATCCCACATTCTCATGTGAGCTGGCTCTCAACAGCCTCTAGGTTCACTGCCCCCACTGAGGGCCAGCCAGAAGGTCTGTGCAGACAGCCCCTGGCCACAGATGTGGCTGTCGGTGATGGAGCAGGCCACATCTCAACTCACCTCTTCCGGAAAGTTTTTATTGTTAAACCTGAGTCCCACTCTATGCTCACTATGTGGTCTTATTCTGTTGGCTATGTGATTCCAGACAAGTCACTTAACCTCTCAGTCCCTCATATTTCTCAAATGCAAAATGAGGAAAATAACAGCAACACCTTATAGAGTCGTAAAAACATTAAATGAGTTAACATATATAAAAGCACTTAGGAGAGTACCTGACACGTAGTGAGCACTCTGTGAATGTTAGCTATGATTATGATTATAATAATAATTATTATTTAATCTATAGGCTTTATGCCTACGTTACTTTGTAACAGACTTTATTTCATGCATATAAACTGTTTCTCCAATTAAATCTTGAGTACAAGGACAGTGTAGAGTCTCCAAGTAGCACCCATTACCATTTTCTGAACATGGTATTTATTCACTAACTCATTGCGCAAGTATTTATGGGGTTCATACTGTGTGCCAGGCACATGATGTCTTTTGAAGGCGCTAAGGAACTCAAGAATAAAAATACAGCATGGCTGCCAAAACTGATACAGACTCACACTTACACAGATGAGCAAAAGCCTTCATAAACCTATTATCCAGAGTGCAGAAGGAAATCTACATATGTGTACGTGGGGTGAGTATATTTATATGCTCCACACAGGTACAAATTGGGGCCACAGAGGAGATGGACTCTCA